GNNTTTTCTTACGNCAACTTACTGTATTTAACANCCACNTTTCTTAGCATGACTCTGAGGACTTAAATTGCATAACAACCAACTTATTGTATTGAGTTTCATCAAGTTCTTCCACTGCCTCATCTTCTTCTACCATAAGGCTTTGTCATGGAAAGTAGTCTTTGTACCTGGAATAGCAAAAACCCTTGTGATATATCCATGTATCCCATAAAATATTTGTTAGAGGATTAAACTGACTAAAACCAAAATAAAAACGATAGAAATCTGCCTGAAAGCGAATAAAAAACTACAAAAATCAATAAATCATTTGAATCGCACAGTCGGCAATGATTTTGTCACTGGTCCCTCTGCAGTTTTGGGTCTTGTTCAGGTTCCATATTGCAGTTTTTCAGTAGTTTCTTGTCCAAGAAGCAAAGCCTCCAAACGACGTCCCCACCATATCTAGCATTTAATTTTCATGCATGGTCACATTGGCCCTTATGGTGAGCTCAAACGGCGATACATGCCCCGTCGATGAAGCTCCAAAAACACCACCTTCGAACTGAGCTATCCTGCCTCTGGTTTGGTATGTAGCTGTTGTTGCTGCGCCACGAGCCCTTGCTGCTACGTTGGAGGACACGGCCCTGCCTCCACCGTTGTTCCCATTGATGGAGATCTCTTCTCCACTATCCTCTTCATGCCGACTCTCTCATCTATACTTTTGTGGCTCTCAGGGCACATGCGGTGTTGGCTTCTCTTCATCTGGTGATGAAACAAAAAGCTCTACCATCTCCATTCACCACCGTCGTGTTGTCGGAGGTCACCTCCAACATTGAGTGCACCGTCTCCGCGTCTATGCCCAGTCAACATTGTCTTTTCTCCTCCACCGAAGTTTCGGAGAAAAGAGACGAAAGCATGGTGAGGGAGAGAGTGAAATTAATGGTGGTACGGCAATCGAATCCAAATCCACGGCTATTTCCACCCATGTAACATCGACAAATTTGCAATCGATCGGTGAAGGCTCATCGTCTTCGCCAAATATTCTAAAAATATACGATGCACAATTAGCCAAAAATCAAAGAAGGATCTCTATAACTAATTAAGCCAATATAACTCTCCAGCTAGGACTTGTCTCCATGCGATACGCGTAGCACAATGGTACATTCTAAAACAAAAACATATGATACTCATCAAAAGTGTAGCTATTCCAAAAACTTAAATTCAATACGACAACGTTATAAATGAAAAATAGATGTTAGATTCAATTTATGAGATTTGGTCAAAAACCCTAACACACAACACCAAAACCTCCAAAAAACGCTGGATTTCATTTAACCGAAAACTGAATAAATCGAAATTGATTTTCAAGATCATAAGTCGATAACTGCAATTATCAACAAAAATAAATGCACAAATCTTGGTTACGATATCATTAGAAGATGAGTTTGTTTATAAACAGCCGCTGGTTTTCTTGTGTGAATAAAAAAAACATAAAATCAATACTTTCAATAAAGAGAAGAAAAAAACAAATTGTTAAAACTTATATGATTCTATGGAGAACGGAATCCATATTAAAAATAAGTTAATTTTAAAGAGAAAAAGAACGATACGAATAAGATGAACAAAACTTTAAACCTAATAGTTGTATAACGTTGTTGAAGAATCAAATCTGTATGCATAATACAAACCAAAAGTACCTGAAAAAACTACAAAAATAAACAAAAAAAAATCAGAATTGATTAGAATAAAAACCAGCAAGAATATAAAATAAAACAACGAACAAAGAACAACTAATATTAAACCTAAATTTTATGAAGATGAAGTGACAAAGATCGATATATATATTCTTATAGAATTAGGGTTCCACAAAATAAGAAATTCTTTATGGGCCAATAGAAATATGAGATCTAAATCCAATAATTAAATGTAATTGATATAATTCGGCCCAAAAAAATACTCGATGGCAAGGGATGTAATTTTGAGATTCATTAAGAGTGTTTTCGGCAAACCAAGTCTTAAACTCGTTCTCAAGATGACACATATGATTTGCGACTTCTCATTTATAAGTATAGATTTCTCATGACTTTCTTCAAGACACGACACACACTACACTTCAAATTCAAATTTTGAAATGCAAATTTTTATAAATCAAGTGCATACTGAGAAATCTTAATCTATACTCATGCAGTTGCAAAGAATGGGACACCAATCGGTCCAAGGGTGAGTTATATATGATTTCTTTTGGTTTTTGTTTTACTCTCTTTAATTACTTAGTGTCTGATTATGAATCAATCTAAATTTATGTAGGCACATTCGGAATGGCTATACAACGTACCGTGGGGAATGTACAAGGCCTTGATGTACATTAAAGAACGTTATGGCAACCCAACAATGATTCTCTCCGAAAACGGTATTAACAATTAAATCCTCAATATCTTTCTTTGTTATATTTCCAAGGTTTATAGAAGAAATGTTTAGTGTCAAAGTTTGAATTATAATCTTTATAGGTATGGATGATCCGGGCAACATTACTCTTGCTCAAGGACTAAATGACACAACGAGAACCAATTATTATTGAGAATACTTAACGCAGCTTAAAAAGGCGGTAGACGATGGAGCCAATCTAACTGGATATTTCGCGTGGTCGTTGCTAGATAATTTCGAATGGCTATCGGGATATACTTCAAGGTGCGTTTAANTAGCTAATGAATCTNTNTGATTGTTTNAGAGAAAATGTNANNNTNNTCNNANNNNTTTTTATTTCGTNTAGGTTTGGAATTGTGTACGTTGATTACAAGAACTTGAAGAGATACCCCAGGATGTCTGCTTTATGGTTTAGACAACTTTTGAAACGAGACCAAAAATGAGATCAATGTGTCCAACCATGATTGGATTTTAATTTGAAAGGTTGAAACTGATTGTTGAAGAAACATGGGGTCGTTTCTTTAATCATTGTTCTCTAATTTCAGAGACGTGGATGTGTAACTTGAGTTCTTCGTTTGACTTTTCAACACATAAAAAATTTTCAGCAGCAAGAAATTTTGTTCTTATATAACTTGTAACTTTCAATAATGTCAATGGCATACGTTGAATTTTCTCATCATGCTCGACCTCAATATACTTCTGGTTACAAAAAAAAATACCAAAGAGTTAATTGTTGTTCTTATGACTCTTTCTTGTTTCGTTCTTATGACTGTGTAAAAAACCTGTTATTGCATATTTATAAAATGTTCTTTTCGATTAATTTGATGATTAGGAGAAGTTTTCGGTCGAGCTCGTACATTTGCGATCTTTAGGAGAAGTTTATTTAAAATCTGTTGATCTATTTCCTAAATTTTTGAAAGTAAGACGTCATAAATAAATGTTTTTCTTCTAAATAAACTTAACTTTATTAAAGAAAGTGTGTTGATGTTCTTTTAAAGGGTACCAAAGAGCATGATCAATGTAAGAGCATCTACATTTGAGATATTTTGTAGGTGTCTTTAAATATAAAATTATTAAAAATTGAGTAAAAAGAAAAAAGAGAGTGTAATTGGTTGAAATAATGGGTTGTATTGAAATATAAAATTAATAAAATTTGAGTAAAGAGAGGAGATAGTGGGTATTGTTGGAGAGATTGTGTCTTTAAGAAAACATAAATAGTGACTTTTGGAGAGAAGATATGTTTGTGTTTAAATATAAAACTAATAAAAGTTGAGTAAAAGGATGAAAGAGAAGGTATAAAGTTAAGTAAAAAGAAAAGAGAATGTTTTTAATATTTGTTTATTTAAAGACATCCACAAAATGTCTCGAATGTGGATGGTCTAAGAATGCTTATGGAATGGTTAAGATATATTTAATTATTAAAATTGTTTTAAGCTTTTTGTTAATATTTTTTTTGTTTTCTCTAGTCTAATGGAAAAATCTTATTAGGGTGCTTAAAGAAAAAAAA